TCAGCCCATTTGTATAAAGAAGTGGCAGCTCAGTGTTAATGCAGACTTTCCTCCATGGGGGAAAAAAACAGCAAAGGTGATAATATGATAAAGAGGAGCGAAGCTATAAAATGACTATTTCATACAGCGATGGGAGGAAGAGTGAATAATTTACACATCTGCTTTGGAAGCTGAAGCCAAAGCTCTGAAGAGAGTAAAATAGCGTTGAAACCTATCTAAATTAATTCTGAATCCATTTTTAATTTGGATTTCTCTTGTATCTTGAGCTGTAGCACTTGATCCTGACAACAGCAAGTTGAACACATTAGGAAGGAACGTTATTGGATAAGCAATTCTTCTACAGGCTGGTACATCAGAGAGAGCAGTGGAAACACCTTGGAATGCCCCTTCTTTGTGAACACATTTTCAAACTTCTGTGCCTAGAGTGGGGCTTGAATACCCCTTTGTATAGCTTTAGGCCTGATATTCAATGACTGGGATGTGTAATTACGCCCACACAACTGCATGTACATGATTTGCACGTATGCAGATTGGGTATTTGTTCATGCAAATGATCAGCTGGTCAGGTGTACATGCAAATACTTGATTTGCATATGCATATGTGATTTTGCATACACAATTGTGTGTACTATATAAGGCAGTGGGGTTTTCCACAGTGAAATAAGACAAAGTAGCAACCAGCAAGGTCTTTTATAAGTAGCAAACCTCTAGGGCCATAAATCAAGGCAAGCTGCCATAAGCCAAAGCAAACTTAACAAAAACCCTTCACTTTCCTAACGTTCAATGTTGCGAGGTGTAGAGCGGTGGCTTCTTACGGGGATTTTTCTCCTGATGTCTCCCTGTCCCGGGGTGCTACACTCACCATTGAAGCGCCTCCTTCTGATCGCATCTGGGGATTAGCTCTACCATGTCGACGCCCCTTCCTCACATTGCTCACTCCGTCTCTCTCCCGGTCTCACTCGCTTGAGACTCGACTGCTCCCGCTTTGTGGCTTGGCCCTCTGGCCAGGTCACTGTAGCCCTCCCCTTCTGGGGGGCATATATCAAAGTCTCTCAGAACCCCCTGTCCCAGGCAGTCTTCCCATTCACTGCCCCATAACAGTGCCACTTCCCCAGTGGCTGGTTAGGGGAACCCAGGCCCACCCTCTACACTGGTTTCCAGTTCAAGGATCCTACAACACGCACTCAAGATCTGCACAAGGTCTATCCCTTTTTGCTGTATCCCTGGGCTGCTTCCTACCATACCTTCCCACACCTTGAGAGTGACAGCAGTTTCCATCTCTCCCACCCCGTTCTACTTTCAACTACTGGGCATTATAGAGAGGCCCCTCCTGTTCCTGTCCTGATGAGCTTCATCTCTAATTAGCCCTTGCTCCCTGGCTCCTCCTCTAGGTGCAGCCCAGGCGGTTAACTGGCACACGTAGCCACCTTCCCCCCCTTCAGGCTTTGTGTGGGGTGGACATCCCATCACACTCCCTTATAGCCATTCTTGCAATTCTACCCCTCACACATATACAGGAAGTTGGCAAATGGCAGCCAGATGTTGTCACTTGCTGACCTTGGGCTGGCTCCGGTCCCTGTCTCGAGCAGAGTGAATAACTGATTTTTTTCAGTTCGGTGGCCAATAATTTTGGGTTGACCTGAAACGGAAGTATTTTGGTTTTCTTGCCAAAATGACCCCCTCCCCAATTTGTTTCAAGACAAATGAAATGTTTCATTTGACCGGAAATGAATATTTGTGTGTGTGTGTTTGTTTCATTTTCGGGCGTTTAACTTTTTAAAAAGACACTTAGCTAAATTTGTAAACAAAACACCAATTTTGAAATGAAAAGTAGAAACGTTTCATCTTGAAAATGTAGTAGTGAAAAGCTGCGGCTTAGAAAATTTGTCCGTCCCCCCCCCCTCAATTATTTTGTCTGAGACTATTTGCTAAATTCAACCCCAATTCATGAAAAGTTTGGGCTGGCTGAAGCATCACACAGGGCCTTGTGCAGGGTCCAGGCTCTGAAGTGAATCTCATACACTGAATTGACATTCCTACATTAATAGCAGCTAATTTCCCAGACAATATGGGCTTCATTTTGATTAAAACAAGAGGAGGCTGAGTTGTGCATCCAATTACACTTGCACATACACAGCTGTCCCAACAGGTGGAGCTAAAGAATGCAAAATTTATTGTTCTTAAATGAGACAGCAAAATAAGGTGCTGGGCCTTGGGCAGGGAGGCCACCATGGTCAGCTCAGTCCATATGTGCATAACTGCAGATGGATTTCCACATGTGGAGATTTATGAATTACTGAAAAGCCCCTACTTTAACGGTTGGCTTTTCATTGGCTACAAATCTAATTACAGAGGAACAGAATCGATTGTGAACATATTTAGGGAACAGTTTCATTGTTATCTTTTAAAAACTTCCTTTGCGTTATGAAGTGTTTGTGCAGTTTAGTCAATCACAAACATTCATGTCCCCTCTTGAGAAAATACATCCTACGCCAACGGAACAAAATAATGTAAGGGCCTGATCCTGCAAATACCCTTTCCAACTGGAAGTTTATACTCATACAAAGAATCCCATTGAGGTGAATGGGATAACTCACATGAACGAGGACAGCTCATGTGAATTAAGACCCCAATCCTGAGCAGGCTGACCCATACACAGATACGGAGTCTCACTGACAACAGGATCAAAGCCTTAAATTGAAAAGAAAATAATCAGGAAACATTATAGATTAATGTAAAGCGCACTCAAAACATCTTATCTAGATGTGATCTAACACCACGGGCTCATTGAGAAAACCAATAACCTTCATGGGAGGAGATTCTCCAAGTTTGATGTGCATCTCTCAGTTGAAGCGGATGTGAAATAGATACTAATTTTACCTATACAACAAGGAGTCTGGTGGCACCTTAAAGACTAACAGATTTATTTGGGCATAAGCTTTCGTGGGTAAAAACCTCGCATCCGAAGAAGTGAGGTTTTTACCCACGAAAGCTTATGCCCAAATAAATCTGTTAGTCTTTAAGGTGCCACCAGACTCCTTGTTGTTTTTGTAGATACAGACTAACACGGCTACCCCCTGATACTTAATTTTACCTATAGAAATTCCAATTATCTTGTACTTTTCCTGTGTATGTATTAAAAAGGAGAGAGAAGAGCTGGGTAGATATTGTGAACAATTTTCTGCGAATGTGTGTTTGAACCTTTAAACCGATGGTTCTTAATCATCTTAATAGCAACATGCCCTTTTCCATAGTGGGACTTTCCGGGGCCACCCCTTTCAATCTAGCCAGGATCCCCATTCCATTTAGCAGTATGGGAAAGGCAGGGTGGCCATGAGCCCCTGTGACCTTTCTGGGGCCAAGACCCAGGTTGAGAACCTATGCTTTAAGTGGATCTATTTTAACTGTGCTAGTGCCCTTTTTGCCCCGGGGCTTTCTGTGGAAAAGTCTAACAAACAAGCATGCTGTCAGGAACGTTCACAGAATCAGCAAACAACAAGGAAACACTGGGAAACACCTGAAGAAAGCCAAACCTGAACCCACAATCACAAGTATTCACCTCAGAAACTTGATTGTCAGGGTTGCGATCACCCAATCAGGGAACAGACACATACAATGCAATATATCTGTCCAATCAAAACTCACCAGTAGAGTTCAAAATCTGAATATTTAATGCTCGCCATGAACTGTGTGTGCACAATCTGGGGACTTTTGAGCGCGTAAATGGCAAAAGACGTAAAGGCCAATGCAATTTGTGACAAATATGGCAAAGTTTGGCAAAAATATTAGCAGCTGCTAATTATTTGCTCATTTCTAGTTTTTTACCCACTAAAGGGCTGATCCAAAGCCTACTGAAGGCAATGGAAAAGCTTTAATGGATTTTCGATCCAGCTCTAACAGGGCATGTGGACAAAGCCTATGTTTTGATTCTTTCAGAGGAGAGTATGTCAGAAATATACAGATGGTGTGACCTTTTTTATTATTCATATTGCAGTAGCAAACAGATGGCCTAGTCAGAATGAGGCTGTTTTGCTAGGCCCTGCATAAACACACAGAAAGAAAGAGATACATCCCTACCCCAAAAGAAAAAACACCAGATGAAGGGAGGGGGAGTGCGATACAACATGTGTGTAAAGAGACTGTGGGGATGATACGCTTGTTAGTTCCAGCATAACAAGAACATCCCCAATTATATTAGATAGGTTATCATATTTATTAAGGATATAAACCCTCATGCTTCAGGGCATAGGCCGAACACGGTTTGCTTGGGGTCAGGAAGAAACTTCCTCCATGGGCAGGTTGTTGCACAATTGTCCATTAAAAGATAACTTGTTCCTGTCCGTGACGCATCCAATACTGGCCACTGTCCAACAGGAAACCTGATTAGAGGGACCAGTGCTCTCATCTCATCAGGCCATTCTTACGATTAGTATCAGAGTGAAATTAATGGAGATTTTGAAGGAAAAAAAATCTTCACATTTTAGGTTAAGTAACAGTTTGGTCTCTGAATCTTTAAAAATTCGCTGCCACCTGCTACTAATTTTATTCTTGGTTACAAAAGCCATTGATTGCCTGAAGGGAGAGGGGAAAGGAGCTGTTAAGAAACACTTCACACAGAGCAAATGAGAGCACAAATAGCAGGGGATGTGTGCGTTAATGAGCAAAGGGGGCACTGATCAGTTTTCTACACAGTTAAGCCTGACCCTGAGATGTGTTGAGTGCCTGGAGCTCCCCTTGACTCGAACAGGACCCCAGGCTGTCATGTCTCAGAATCAGGCTGGGAGTTTGTTGTAAAGGCAACGACAGGTTGTGCACAGAGCTGGAGATGTGACTGGGCAGCAAACCCTGCGTTTTCTGTCTCACTGGGCCCTTCCATTGCACTCCAGAAAACAGTTCCATTTCTTTGCATGGAGAGATTCAGGGAACCATCCCCAACCAGAAGCTTGCACAGCCAACCTGCACCCCTTTTCTATCTTATCTAGCCCCAAATCGCTGCTTACCTTAATGGCCTGAGCGTTCGCAGCAGCCTCAAGACCCTCAGCATTCCAAGAATTTTAGTGCCGCTGTCCGATACCAATGAAACCAGGATGTCAATGACCGAGATGAGAACCAACACCCCATCGAGCACATTCCAACTGCTCTTCAGGTAGGCCTTCTCCCCAAAGCACAAGCCGAGCGCCACCACCTGCCCAAATGGCAACAAGTTATGACTAATTCAGCCAGTATGTTTCTTCCAGTTAGCGACTTGCAGCTAATACATTATTCACAGATAAGTGATTGCGAGTCCATTTGCTTCCCAGTATAGAAACCTAATTAGACAATTCTGTAAAGTGTTATACCGTAAGGACTGTAAAAATAACTCTGCAAAACACACCGCAGATTGCCCCTTAACAGCTGATGTATTTTTAATGCAGCTAAACCTAGTTGTGCAAAAGTGATTCTATTAATGTATAGCTGTTGCACAGAAGATTTGATCCCATGATTATTTGGGCTACTGGGGGAGAGAAGTGGTTTCGAGGTCCTGACTATAGGCTATTGCTGGCCACCAGATTTGCAAATACAGAAGACGGGGGAAGTTTCCAAATGAGAGGGGAATACTTCTGAGATGCTATGAATTATATGAGAGCGATATCCAGAAAAAAGTCTTGCCAATCTTTGGGCCTTATTCAGGCTCTAATTCAGAAAAGCATTTAAGTACACATTTAATAAAATAACACCAAATCACCACCACGCAGCTCTAATACAGCATTTTTCATGAGTAGATCTCAATGCACTTCACAAAGGGGGTCAGTATCATTATCCACATTTTACAGATGGGAAAACTGAGGCACAGGGAGGTGAAATGATGTGCCCAAGGTCACCCAACAGCCAGTGGCAGGCAGAGATAGGAACAGAGTCCCAGTCTCCTGAGTTTCAGTCCAGTACGTTAGCCACTAGGTCACACTGCCTCTTTAGCAAAGCACTTAAGCGTAAACTTATCTTTAGGTCATGGAAGTCAATGGGATTTACCCACATGGCTGAAGTAAAGCAGGCGCTTAAGTGCTCTATGGAAAAGGGACGGACTGCTGATTCGAGGCCTCTCATCTCCTCTATACTGCTATAAATCAGGAATCACGTCAATGGAATGATGGTGCTGAAAAATGCACTAAGAATAAGGTGCCTGATATTTATTGGGTTACTCCTCCTTCCCAAGTAGCACAGCAGATTAAGACATGATGATCTCTGGAAAAATGGGCACAGGGGCTTTAGAAATCCAAAGTCATAAAATGGTGCTAATGCAGCAGAGCCAGGCTTATGCTTTGGTTTCATTTACCTTAACTGTCATCTCAGCCAGGAAGATTACCGTGAAGATGTAGTTGGACAGCGTTAGGAAAATTCGTTCCTATAAAAAAAAAGAAAAGAAAATGAGAGACAAGGTTTTATAGTCTGCTCGCCAAATCTCTCTCTCTCGAGATGTCTATTTGGGTGGTTGCTTAATGTTCTCCTGATCTTATGCTGAAATAAGTCTTGGAATGTTTGCTCCTGAAGAAGATGTCCAAACATTTACATGATAACACTTCACTTGTTTATAGATCTCTTTTCTTATGTTCCTTTGTGTATGTCAGTACCATGGACAGCTGCCAGCGTTCTCTGTAGGATGCTGCTTGCTTCACCACAGGTGATGGGGGAAATAAGCAAAGGATGCAATTGAAATTCACATGCCCTCTCTCTCAAATCTACGCCATTCTTTTCCATGTATCCCCTGGCCATTCCACACTTTCCCAAGTTCTATACCATTCCTTCACTCGTCCCAAGTACTCTGGGATGCATGGGGGTGCTTGACAGATGTAAGGAGAGTTTCCTTATGCATGCTATATAGCGGGTGTCTCACAACCCTTCACCTGTGGATCTCAGAGTACTTCACATGGTTGTTGTGGGGCTTAATGATTCTTGTAAAGTAAGTTGAATACCCACTATACAGAAAGGCAATCTGAGGCACAGAGAAACCATGCCTCAGCTGGTGTAAACTGCCATAGAATCATAGAACTGGAAGGGACCTCAAGAGGTCATCTAGTCTAGGCCTCTGCAGTCAAGGCAGGACTAAGTATTATCTAGACCATCCCTGACAGATGTTTGTCTAACCTGTTCTTAAAAATCCCCAGTGATGGAGATTTCACAACCTCCCTAGGCAATTTATTCCAGTGCTTAAGCACTCTGACAGTTAGGAAGTTTTTCCTAATGTCCAACCTAAACCGCCCTTGCTGCAATTTAAGCCCATTGCTTCTTGTCCTATCCTCAGAGGTTAAGAAGAACAATTTTCTCCCTCCTCCTTGTAACAACCTTTTATGCACTTGAAAACTGTTATGTCCCCTCTCAGGCTTCTCTTCTCCAGACTAAACAAACCCAATTTTTTCAATCTTCCCTCATAGGCCATGTTTTCTAGACCATTAATCATTTTTGTCGCTCTTCTCTGGACTTTCTCCAATCTGTCCACATCTTTCCTGAAATATGGCACCCAGAACAGGACACAATACTCCAGCTGAGGCCTAATCAGCATGGAGTAGAGTGGAAGAATTACTTCTCATGTCTTGCTTACAATACTCCTGGTAATACATCCCAGAATGAGGTTTGCTTTTTTTGCAATAGTGTTATACTGTTGACTCATATTTAGCTTGTGATCCACTATGACCCCCACATCCCTTTCCGCAGTACGCCTTCCTAGACAGTCATTTCCCATTTTGTATGTGTGCAACTGATTGTTCCTTCCTAAGTGGAGTACTTTGCATTTGTCCTTACTGAATTTCATCTTATTTACTTCAGACCATTTCTCCAGTTTGTCCAGATCATTTTGAATTTTAATCCTATCCTCCAAAGCACTTGTAGCCCCTCCCAGCTTGGTATTGTCCGCAAACTTTAAGTGTACTCTCTATGCCATTATCTAAATCATTGATGAAGATATTGAACAGAACCAGACCAAGAACCGATCCCTGCGGGACCCCACTCGTTATGCCCTTCCCGTATGACTGTGAACCACTGATAACTACTCTCTGGGAACGATTTTCCAACCAGTTATGCACCCATCTTATAGTAGCTCCATCTAGGTTGAATTTTCCTAGTTCGTTTATGAAAAGCTCATGCAAGACAGTATCAAAAGCCTTAATAAAGTCAAGATATACCACATCTACCACTTCCCCCCTATCCACAGGGCTTGTTACCCTGTCAAAGAAAGCTATCAGGTTGGTTTGACATGATTTGTTCTTGATAAAGCCATGCTGACTGTTACTTATCACCTCGTTATCTTCTAGGTGTTTGCAAATTGATTTCTTAATTATTTGCTCCATTATCTTCCCAGGTACAGAAGTTAAGCTGACTGGTCTGTAGTTCCCCAGGTTTTCCTTATTTCCCTTTTTATATATGGGCAAAATATTTGCCCTTTTCCAGTCTTCTGGAATGTCTCCATGTTTTCATTGAAGTCAATGAAATTACAGCCATTTATACCAGCTGAGAATCTGCCCCCAAGGAGTTTAAGTCACTTGCCCAAGACCACGACAGAGCTGGGAACAGAACCCAGCAGTTTTCCTATGCTCTAACCCGGTCCCATGGTCTAACCACTAAACCATGCTTTCCTTCTGTGTAAGCAGTTAGTGATTACAGATGAGAGCGTGGACTAATTCCCTATCTATAACCAGCAGAAACCTTTCTTTTTAATGATGATCATTAAATAAATTACACTTTCCCCTAATCTCTATACAATCTCTGATTGCTTGTACTGTGAGCTGGAGAGTTGGGGGGGTAGAGGGAGTAAGACAGAAACACAGTGTGTGTGTGTGCGTGTGCGCACTCTCGCACGGGGACTAAAACATCTCACTGTAACATTATGGTAACATTACTAGGGACGCTGGATTTATTTCCACTGCTCCCTAAAGAGCAGTTCTCTAAGAAATGCAGCTCTCTAAAAACCAGCTGCAATTTAACTACGAGAAAACACCATGGAAACTCTCATTTGCCAGGCCATGATTTACTGAGAGTGACACAGGAATCACTAAGTAGCTTGTTTCCATCCTGGTGTCCGTAATTAATCAAGTCTTAAAGACCCCTGCTGTGACTGCATGAGTCATGATAGAAAACATCCATGGTCTTTGAGAGAGTGCTGCACAAAAGGTCGGCAAGTGTGCAGTGGGGCTGAGCATCTGCAGGAGCGGATAAGCACCTGCTTTAGGCAGTGCAGATGAAATGGTAATAGCAGGTAGAAAAGAGTCAGAATATTACACTTCTCTTTGGCAAGTGTGCAGCGATTTGGAAGTGCAGTCTCCACGCACCGCATCCCCTACTCTCCGGAACAGGAAGGCCTGCTGTGGAGAGACTGCCTCCCCTGCTCTGACTGGCCGGCTCTAACTGGGACAGGGAGAGAACTGGCTCTAGGCAGTTAGAAAATCCATGGCTCTGGAAGGCAAAGTACAATTATTTGAAACAAGTGAAGCTAAAATAACTATTTGTGTTTCCAGGCAAGAGCTCTGTCAGCTGGAACGGGGCTGTGTGCCCTGCCTCGCTCTCGCATCTCCTGTGGTGCCACCGTTGGGTCCCCCCCTTCTGCTTTCTGTCTTCTGCCCAGCTCACCTTGATCCCTGGGTGACCTCACTGGCTCCCATGGTTACCATCCCCAGGCTGATGGTTCTCACATCTGCCTCTCTGCCCCTGAGCTCTCTCCCCTCTGTCCACTTCCGCATCTCAGAAATCTCCTCCAAGTCCTGGCAAGACCAGAGTGCCTCACCCTCCCTCACCACTAGCAGCACCACTGTCCTCCTCAAGTGCCACACCTTGGGCTCCTCCAATTCAGGCTCCCACCCAATCCTCTCACTTCTCCCTTTTCAAACAGCACTACAGACCCCACCTTTCCTCCCCATCTTTGCTGCTCCCACACTTGTTCTCATCCAGGGCCATTCCGCACCTTGACTGGTGCAATGTCCCAGAGGCCCAGTTCAGATGGCTTTTAAACTGGAGAACAACAAATAGCATGGAGTGGATAATGAATGCCCTTATTTGCATGTGGATCCAGGTCATCATAAAAAAAACACATCAACAAAAAACACCACACACCAGCCTTTCCCCGAACATCCATCCAAATAAAATACCTCTCTGTGCAAGGGTTTCTGGACAGGGCTCTAAGGGGACCCAACATGGGACCAAAGAGCCATTCAGAATGTGAAGGAATGCTCCGAAATGTGTGGGCCAGATTCTCAGCTGCTATAACTTCAATGGAGTTATACTGATTTACACCAGCTGAGGATCTGGCCCTATTTCTGAACTATTCAGCAGGTGTGTCCAGACAGCAGCATTTAATACCTCCGAAGAAAGTGGGGACAGCAACTAAGTTCTTTGCTCTAGCTTTCTAAGAGCCTCCACAATACCAAGAGTTACAACAGGATTTCCAAAGCTGCCTAGAGGCTACAGACACCCAGTTCCCACTCATTTCAATGGGAACAGGGCCTCCAAATCCCTTCACCGGCTTTGGAAAATCTCTGCCTCCATCAGCTGCATGAAACCCTCTAATGTCACTAGGAGTCATCGATGTGAAATGACAGGACAACTTCCCCCAGTGGACTAGCTGGGGAGGCAGCCCGGCATCCAGAGCGGTTCATCTGTTCCTGCACTCAGACAGCGAGCTCAAGTGAGCAGCACGCCCATCCCACCCAAGCTAGCCTTTTACATGTGCAGCAGCTGTCCGAGCAGCCTGCCTGACAATGTCTAATGGGGAACAGAAGTCGAAAAAAGGGCATCTGTAAGTTAAACAATGGCTGGGAGCTCAAAATAAGCTCAGGCAGCATCCAAATTCGCCATGTCCAATTCATTAAAAAAAAGTGAGTTAACGGAGAGCAGCAGCAATGGACTCTCATTAAAAGGGTGTTTTTGTTTTAATAGTTTCAAGGGGATCCAAACCTTGTAAAACAAAACTTTGAAAACTCCCAGCCTGAAGGACAAGCCTGTTTCATTAACTGGCAGGCGTGTTTGGAAAAATAGCAGTGTCTGGTGAAAACAGAATCCTGATCTGCAGGAACCCTGCTCCATGCTATAGGCCTCTTTCATATGGACTAAGGCCAGGAAGGACCACTGTGATCATCTTATCAGACCTCCCGTATGACACCAGCCATAGAACTTCCCCCCAAAAATTCCTACAGAAGAATTTTTAGAAACAAAGCCAATCTTGATTTAAAGATTGCCAGTGATGGAGGAGAATCCATCATGACCATTGGTAAACTGTTCTAATGGCTAACTACCCTCACTGTAAAAAGGTACACCATTTCCAGGCTGAATTTGTCTCGCTTCAACTTCCAGCCATTGGATCGTGTTTATACCTTTGTCTCCTGGATTAAAGGGCCCATTATCAAATATTTGTTCCCCATCTAGGTACTTATAAATTGTGATCGAGTCACCCCTTAACATTCTTTTTGTTAAACTAAATAGATTGAGCTCCTTGAGCCTTCTGTGGCATGCTAGAGCCTTTGTCATAACATTGTGCCCCAAATAGGTCATGCTTCCCCTAAGTTCATTGTTTTGGATCCAGCCCAGGCTGGAAGTGACTAAGAGTTGTTGCCATCTGCTGGCTGGTTGGTGGCTAAAGTCCAGTTCCCCAGTGGATCACAAAAGCCACCACCACCCCTGGCATTAACTGGCAACTTTGCAAGACTCAGAAGAGGTCAAGTACTAAATGGGTTGTGACGACTGATCACCACTCACCCTAATGGTGGGCCCCTCCCGGGCCGGGCTGGGGAACTGTGAGGAAGTCTGCATTGGAGCTACTATCCATGCTGTACATATTCTGTGTATACAGAGGCTTCACTATCCAGGGCCAGTGGGGGAGGGATAGCTCAGTGGTTTGAGCATTGGCCTGCTAAATCCAGGGTTGTGAGTTCAATCCTTGAGGAGGCCACTTAGGGATCTGGGGCAAAATTAGTACTTGGTCCTGCTAGTGAAGGCAGGGGGCTGGCCTCAATGACCTTTCAAGGTCCTTTCCAGTTCTAGGAGATAGGATATCGCCATAAAAAAAAAAAAAAGAGAGAGGGCTACCAACCCAGCACCTTTCCTCAGCTCTATCCTCAGAAAACCCACCGGACTCACATGATGACAAAATGATAACAAGAGTTTACATTTATATAGAAAGACTCCAAAGCACTTTGCTACTGTATACATGCAATGAAATGCAGCCATCTCTGGGGTGGAGGACAGTCACTTATTGCACAACAGTGAAGGAAAGAAATTTGGCTTAAGGAGATTGGGGCATGCTTATTCTCTGAGGAGGAGTGCTAGGGGGATCTTTAATGTACAGGAAGAGCACAAAGAACCTTAGTTTTAAGATCTCAGCTTAAAGATCCACAAGCAATAAACAGCAAGGCACTCATGCACTGAGGGAACAGGGATTTATATTGTTGCAATATGAACAGTCTTTTGCAATATGTCAGAAACAGCCTAGTGTACCTCTCAGCTGCAATCGATACAGAAATAAAAGAGCAAGTGGATGATTCTGCCCATCTGACTGATAGGAGTTGATGTTATGAGGGTCTGGTTTGAAAAATCATTATGCAATTTATTAAAACAAATGGTTCGGGGAAATGGAATTACAGTGCTTGTATCCATTCAATTTGCTTATGTCACAACAAAGATGATCGACAAAGAGGCCAGAAAAGTACAAAATGAACAGCTTTCCCCATCCCTTCCCACCACCCATACGCCGATGCAGAACAGATGGAAGGAGCTAACATTGCGCTGAGAGAGTAAAAGTGTTTGAATGTTTATCAGAGAAGAAAATGGAGACAGATGTCCTGGTTATATCATGTATAAAAACAGTCTGATTGTGCCTGGGGAGATGGGATATTAAAAGTGGAAGCCTGGATGTCTTTCCCAGCACACGAGTGCTGGTCTTGTATGTTTCAGAATCAGAGGAAAGAAACTGTGGTGAGGGCAGAGGATTGAATGCCTGAAAGAATCCCTGTCTGTTGGCAGCATCATGGAAAATCCACTTCAGCATGTGCTGTAAAGGTACGTTTATTGCTGAAGTTAATACCACATAGGCAGGATCGATTTTCTTTTAAATAAACCATGAATGGCAAATTATAAACAGCTGGGGCCAGATCCCTGGACACAGCCATGATGTTCAGAGCACAAGGCACGAGCAGCATGCAGAGATGGCTTAAAGCCCTCCCATGCACTGCCCTGATGCTGGTGATGCTCTGTGCCTGGCTGTTTCCTTTGTGCGGTGTCAGAGCCTGAGGGCTGCCCTTACTTACGCTGGCCTGTAATGATCCCAAAGAGCTAAAACATACTGCAGGGCCAGGGAAGTGCAGGGGACGTCCCTACGTGTGGTGCTCCCTTTTATCTAGCCATATGCATGTCCCACACACTGCGAGCAGCAGGGAGGGTGGATGGTAAATAGCCCCCATGTTGGCTCTGTACCACCGCATGCTCAACTCTCACTGGCGGATCCTCTCTGGGCCAGTTAGACAGGGTTTGTGGTCCAAGCACTGTGTCAGTGCTGCACAAAGCAGCCGCATGGCCCCTAAAGATCTGATCCCTGAGCTGGAATTCAGGGCCAGTTTCTCAGCTGGTATAAATCAGCATAGACTTGACTGACTTCAATATAGCTATGCAGAGACAAGGATTCTTTCTCATACTACTGAGACAAAGGAGGCCAGCTAAGGATCTGGCCTCCTCTTTCTCAGTAGCATGAAGGCAAGAGCAGAGAGAGAGATACAGTCCAGTGTGGCTTGGGCTTTGGTGGCTCCACAATGAATGTGACAGCAGAGGGTTCAGGAAATCATTAACCTGTAGCACAACTCCGATACTCACAGCACTGTGGGGCTCAATTTTTGGCCGTTCCATGGCAATGGTAATGCAGTTCAGGAAAATAATAACCAAGACGATATGATCAAACATCTTGTGAGTGATGATTTTATTGCACATCAGACGGAATCTGCCCAGAAAAGGGAAAAAAAGACACATAATGAGCTGTTAACACCTAACTGGTCTGAAAGACTTTTGTCAAAGCATCAGCCTTATGCACGGCGTGAGAACTGAACAGTCGGCTTGAAAAGCAGATGCGTTGCTGACTCCCGACTCCTCCTCTAGGGTGGCCATGTGTTAGCAAATTTTTCTCAGTATAAACAGAAAAGGGTGCAAGCCACAAAGTTTGAACACAGTTTGCAAACACCACAAAGTTTAGGGGTGCTTGGTTGCATTTGGGGTTTGGTTCATTGTAAAGAGAGCAGCCACTTGCAACTTACATCTATTGCCAGGTTCGGATTTCAAGCTCTCCTTTACCCCTAGTGTCAAAGACACGTTTGGATTCAAGGCTCTAGTTTAGCTCCATCTCTAGCTAGAAAATAACCCAGTTTGAGTGTGCGAGGCTAAAGAATGCTATGCTGAACAAAGGAACAGGAGCTATTTAGCATGACAGATGGCTGTACGTTGATGCAGGATTTATAACATGGTATTACATTTCCCAAAGACTGTTTCTAAAAGTCTATGTAATCATTGTATGAATGAACTGTAATGCTGCTTTGGGCCCTCCAGCTTAAAAACGCAAGGCGTCCCCTAGGACAAGCCATGACATTGCTGCATGAGCGTGTATCAGAGCACTGATTCCAGATGGCCATATAGCAGCTGACCCTTGGAAAGAACAAAGGACTCTTGCTCCTTTATGTAAGCAACGGGCCTTTCCTGGAGGAGTGTGACTGGGGGATGGGAGAAAGGGAACACAAAGGGCCAAATTCAGAGGCAAGTCTAAGTCTAGAGGAGTCTAAGTTGGTGTAATACTTTCTTTTGGTCCCCCCAATGCATATGTGACACCAATTTAGAGACCATTGGATGTACTTAGCCACTGTACCCAGGAGTTTTTCCCACCTACTGTGTAGAGTCAAAAGCTCACCCATTCCCTGGATGCTTGGCTTTATTAACAAAGAAATTAACAGCAGCATAATAAAGATCTGTTCAAGCCTTCTCTCTCAAGCGTGGCTGTGCCTGGGGTTCCTCCCTTAGGACTTCTCAGCCCACAGCCTAGATCCTCCCACCTCCCAGAGGGCTCCTGCTGGCAGCGTCATGGAACAGAGTAACCAGTACTCCATCAGGATGGAGTAACCAGTTGCCTGCCCCAGTGAGTCAAGCAGGACCAACTTAACTCTGCCAGCAGGCTCAACACCTGCTAAGAGGGTGAGGTGTTCCAGGCAAGCATTGCCAGCCTCTTACAGACTTCCATAGGCTCACAGGGCCAGATTTAAGGATGATGTGCAATTTAGATCCCCTGACACTAGCTTCAATCCCTTTACACTAAGTTGACTCCCCTGGAGCTACTTACACCCACACCCCTCACTACACACTGAAGAGCTGGAAGAAGGGGATCAGTTAAAGTGGCTCCCAGCTTAACTGAACACACACCTCTTTGCAGCTCCTTGTGAAGTCACCCAGACATTGGTAGAATGGGTGAGAGTAGTTCAACGAGAATCTGTGTGAAGGGGACTGTAAGTTACACACCATCTCTGACCACCACCACAGACTATTGGGCAAACAACTGGTTGCTGCCACCTCCAGCAGCTATTCTGACCCCTTGACCTTTAGGGCATAGCTTTCCCAGTCTGGAGCAGCATGGCTTCCCCTGGTACTCACCTCCACCAGGGCAAAGGCTCTCATCGGGTTCTGCGCTCTTTCTTAAACGAACAGCGTGTGTACGTGAAGCAATGTCTGGGACCTGTCTATTGATATGGGGGTGACAGCTGGTGTCCACAAGTCCTTAGGACCAAAGGACCACCTATCCTAAGGGAGGAAGCAGAGTTCCTCAGGTACCCCGGGTGAATAAACAGGGGCTCAGATTCCGTGCCGCACCACCAGGAGGCACAGGGCATGGGTGAGGGCAAAGATGGCTTTAAACCACCTTTTCACCCTCTGTATTGTGGGCTGTTCTGGGAGCTGAACCTGATCCTGGTGTAAATTAAAGCACTGAGGGGCTGCTCCCTTGGCTGGCTATGAGCTACAGTGCAGCCCCTGATCCCAAAGATACTATAAGATAAGAGCCCACACCCATGTGCCCATGATCTGCCCACAGCTCATCCTTACACTAGGGTTTACAGCAATCCTACAATTTATCTGCAGCAGGGGAATGCTCCCCAGCCAGTTGCAGCAACCCGTATGGCTACTATACGTCAATGGAGTGGAACATAAGGAGTGGAGCAGGGGAAAGAATCTGTCTCCAAGACTTAGAGAGGGCCGTGGGCTTTACCCTCATCGATGCACCGACTGGGAGATAGGCAGGCTGGCATACAATGAAGGCTCTGATCTTCACGGTACTGGGGCAGAGTGATCCACTGTAACACTTACATTCAATTCTACCCATAGCTATCACATTATTATGGAAGTTGCCTTACTTAGAGTGAGGAGCAAAGATGTAGATAGACCAGGAATCCCTTTCTTTGCACCAGGAAGGTAGGTGTGCCCTTATCCAAGCCTTCATACGCTCGCTTTTGCTCTAAAAGAAAAATGACAACTGTACAGTGAGTTGTAATCAGTTATTCTGAGCAACTACAGCAAGCATCAGCCATGGAGTGAAACCGAGACAAAGCAAACAGCCAAGCACAAAACCCTTGTGATGCTTTAATTTCTCCTCCTCCCTGTCAACCTGGAAGTTATATGGCAGCACTGCAGGCCTGCGAGCTGGGGTCATTTCTGAATGACATTTCTTGTGTGTAATACAAGACTAAAATAATGAAATTGACAGCACGGGTACACATGCCCTGCTGTGCACCTCAGGGATGGATTGATGATACCTAAGAGTACATGCATGCAACTCCACTTACAGAAATGTCTTAAGCACAGCTGTGTAAAGGAAGTGGAAGGCCATAAATTTAAAGAAATCTACTGCATGGACAGGCACTGCTGCGCATGGTATCTGCTCACAGTCACCACTCTAACACGGAGACGACATTTTAAAAGTTATCATAAAGAAAAAAGCAGAGAAAGTTGTTTTTAAAAAAAGGGTCTTCCAAACCTAGAAGTCACAAAGCTAAGATGCCACATTTTCCCCCATAGCAGAAATGACAATCACCATTCAGCAAAGCAGCTGATTATGAGCTGAAAAAGCAGAGACCCCACTGCGCATGGCACTGCCAGCAAAAACTGGGGCTTAGTCCAGCAGAGCCCAGGTCTGCGCTGATTAGTGACAGGACTCTCTAAACATTTGAAAACTCTGTTACCATGATTTTTATAGCATCATGAATACACTAGCAGGACAAGGGTATTGGTTAAAATCCCTACTCTGAAGTCAGCCTCAGACATTCTGGATACTTAACAGATGTTTGCCCCAGTCTTCCGAGGTTTAATTCTAAGCAAAAAAGGAACATATAGGGCTTATGTTAGAGCCAATAAAAAAGGCAGAGGGTCAAACGTCTGCATGCCACTTGTGGACTCCTGTGTCTGTGGCACTTGGGTCTAATTCTGGCTGTTGGACTTGGTGTGCAGGTGACTGGGTGGTGTACAGAGGCCTGTGATATACAAGAGCTTAGACCAGATGATCTGGTTCATTCCTGCCTTGAACTTTATGACTGAGTCACATATTTGTGCACCCACTGTGATATTGGAGGAGTCACCAGTGATTTCCACTTTGGTCCATTAACAGAATGTCAAGTGTGCACCTTCCTTACCATTTTAATAGATTACTTATACCATGGTGGCTTAAGACAGGAGGGCAGATTTTAGGGCTTTGATCCAAATTCTGTTAGAGTCAACAGGAACCTTTCTATTAACTTCAAAATTGGATGAGGCCAATAGAGTACAGCTGTATCTGATATTAAATTTGTTCTTTCCACAACCCATAAACCACGTAGCAATGTGCCTACCCCTCAGGGCAGAGGGGTACCCTTACTTGCACTGAATACTAGCTTATAACATGTGCCAACTTTTTGAAATCAATGGGGTTACTTGTGCAGCAAAGTGCTACTGGATGTCAATAAGGGTATCACAATCTAGTCCTTAATGAATATCCAACCGGGAAGAGGTCTAAAGCAGAGCCATTTATCTGAAACTCCCCCCCACACACACATATTAGGAGGGGGTCAGACAAAGGGGGAATGGGCAAAAAATCACCATGGCTTGGGTTTGATTTTGCAAAACTAAAACCTGATTTCCACAAAACAAAACTAGCCACAGGTTCTACCCATCTTCCTCCAACACAGTAGAATTTCAGACTTCAGATATTGCCTTTAGTTGGAAATCCACTACATTCTGAAGGTAAACTTTTACTGGATTATCATTTATAATCAATCAATTAACTGTTGGATTTATACATCCATTATTATCCCAATTGCTGGGCTATACATTAATATTTATAGCTTTACTGAACTACCTCAAACTTCTTATAGTTTGAGCTGTAGTTGATATCGACATATGGAACCAAATTGTACACATACACTGCTTGCAAACCTACTGATGCCAATAGAGTTGCATGGGGTGAAAGCAGAAGCTGAATTTTTCACACTGCATACAGAGGATCCATCCAGCACCTCCAAGCACCAAAAGGACAATCGAATGGCACATAGGGTGTCAGTGAATTATAAGGCCCAAGTTTTCATCATGCGTCTGATGTAAAAATGATGACCACTTTCAAGGTTACAGTCTTGCCTTCGCATGACAAATAACTTGAAACAATTTGCCCTGACTAAATAATCCATCGATCCCTTGATTTCCTGTATCCTGATTGTATACTCCCCTTCCCCCCCGACTCCATCTTTTTAATTCTGGATAATGCCACCACATAGCTCTTATAGAGACACATTCAAAAGCCCAAGAAGTCGATAGGAATTACTCGATTGACTTTAATGGGCTATGGATCAAGCCCAATGGCACTTTTTATCCACAAAGAAGATCCATGTCTTTATCCCCATTTGTAAAATAGGCACAGAGAGGTGCAGGGACTTGCTTGTGGTCACTCAGCAGAGTAGTGGCTGAACCTGTGATACTTGATTTCCGAGTCCAGTGCCCTACCCGGTAGACTGCTAGTCAAAACAGGCACCTTGGGAGTGCATAAAATGAGAGAGTTTAAACACAAGCCTGCGCATTCCTCCTAGGAGCTGAGCAATTAGCAGTTTGCGCTGGTTTGGACTGTAAAAACTGGAGCTGTCAGTGTAATTGAGTGGAATGGGTGAAACTGGAGCTGTGCTGTGCTTACATGCACTCAGCCAGGAGTCTCATTAGCAACTGGTAATAGCTAGTACAGTGTCCATTTTAATGAAAATGCTTGGTGACCAACTGAAACCACCTGATGACGTTCTAGATAGAAAACGCTGAGAGCTACCCCAGCCCTTGAACATGTAGTAAGAGCTGTGACTTGGTCCAGTTAATTTTGTACGCTGGACGGGTTCCAAAAGGATCTATTATTCAAAGCATTTCTGGTATTTATCTTGGGGATTTGAAGTGAATGGTAATGCGTCAGCAGCACAGAATGCCTCTTTGTGTTCCTTTCGTCCAGTTTTAATGCCAAAGATATTTTGGGTTTTGTCTAATTGTTGCAGCTAACAGTTCAAAGGCTACATCAGATAATAAAGGGGAAAAGTGAACTTCCATCATGTCCCTCTATTCAACATGTGTGGGAAAGGCTTGGGACATGGATCCATCAGTCATTACTGAAGCTTTGGCTTCCTTATACAAGGCCAAGTTCTGGTCTCTGTTATATCCATGTCAATCTGGAGTCAAAGGAGTTACTCCAGATTTACACCAGTGTAACTGAGATCACAGTTTGGCCCATGATCATCTGAGCCACATCCAAATCTCTGTGAAATAAAAAAAAGAGTAGTTCCAGCCGACCCCCATCAAATGCTTTCTCTGCAAAGTCCAGATACACAGCATTGCTTACAATCAGCCTGATTGCATTATGTTCAAAGAGATATATCAATTATGTTATTTAAATCACATCTATTTGTTCGTAAGACACACCTGGCCAGGATGAATAAAGATGTGGAAGAACAAGAAGAAAAACAACCACCAACAACCCTTTAATTCAGTTGCTCGTTTAGACAGAATGTTATGGGCATGATCTTGCTGGCCTATTGAAGCTAAACTCCCTCTGTGCTCAATGCTCTACCCAGCTGACAAAGAGAGACATGCCCAGGGGTCTATCCAGTGGACAAAACACGTGCATAACTCCCATTGATATTAACCAGTGTTATGTTCAAACATCAAAGGGGGAATAGAGAACCCTTTAGAGACTACATTAATGAGATCTATTGAAAAATAGTTTCCTGGTTAGGAATTTCGGATATTATTAATGTGCTTCTGAGGGCAGAAGGGAAGAATGCTGACATTAAAAGATGACTGATATACGTCTTGGAGTCATACAGAGACATTGATCTATAAAATTTTTATTATAGGAAAAAAATTTTGCTAATAAACTATCCATGCCTAACAAGTCAACTGAATGCAAGCTAGAAGATGTATTATGAATCTCAGGACTGGATTATTTCATTCCAAACACTGAATGGGGGAAGATTGAGATAGTAAAATAGATGATTCCCTGATTGTTGATCTGCTTGTTACAAAACTAGTGCAAAGCAGGTGAAAAAGCACAAAAAGAATTATTCTCACTTTGCATATGGGGGATTGTGTTTGAAGAGTCTTTTGGTTTGAGACTACGTAGCTTCCCCTCTTTCTGCTCCTATTTCTCACCAGCTTGGTTCTACATTACAACGGACCTTTTGCAGAATGTGGAAATTTCACTGTGAGTGAGAGAGAGAAACAAAAAACTGGACCAGCATATATGAACATCAAAGATGTCAGGTCAGAGTCCGATTGCAGTTACACCTGTATAAATCCAGATTTGTATTGGGCCATTATTTCAGTGGAGTTCCTCCAGATTTACACCTGTGCAACTAAGAGCAGAATTTGGTCCCTTGATTTTATTTTGTGAAGAAGAGTTAACGGGCCTGATTCTGGTCTCACTTACACCAGTGTTCATTGGGCGTGAATTCACTGAAGTCAATAGTGTGACACCAACGTAAACTGGGCCCGGGGAGATCAGACTCTGGCTCTTGTTCTACTTTTTAGTTCAGTGCAGAAAACATCGAGTACATCCAATCAGGACAGCTTTTTGGGCGTTGCTCCATAAGGGCACATTTACTCCTCTAGGATTACGTTGATCTAAATAAGAGTCCAGTTTGTTTATTTTCTTTGGAAAAAACTTGAAATTTCCTCTTGTTCTACCCAGGTTAAATTGGGGGCAAAGAGTCCAAAAAGTGACATGAGGAAATCAGAGCAGGAAGCTCAAAATACTGAGGGAACGAATTCTTCAATCTACACAATATTTTCCAGTAACCGCTGTTTCCTTATTGGTTAGAAAAAGGGAGAAAACTCGTGGTCTCTGTGGAAGAATTCAGGAGAACCCTCACAATGAGGACGAGCCAAGAAACATGAATCTTATTTTACCAGAATATAGCACTTTCCATCTCAAACGTGCACCACGTGGTTTACAAGCTATTACCAACAGAACCATTGAAACACTGGGAGGACACTGGTCTAGCAAACAATCCACTTCATAGCACAGCACAATAAAATAGGGATGGGAAGTTTGGCAAAGTACACCAGAGCAAACCCAGATCTTAGAGCATTACTACAGGGACTTTAGTCTGTTTACAGTAAATATTTATACTGTGTCCATGGAAAGCAGAGAAGACTACAGTCTTTAAAAATCTCAGTTTAAAGATGCAGTACACAATCTGATTCAGAAATTCATTCCGAGATTGCAGTCAGTTACCAACTTACTAGCTGCAGGATGCAAACTACAAGATACTGCACGCAGTATGTTCTGATGTGCCACTTACGTGTTTGGTTCAGGTAAGTGGGAAAGAAATCTGGCCTTGAGCCGGAGGATAAAAAGTCTCCAGCTAGCAATAAGTTCATGATCTTTTGATAATTTTAATAATGATTCTTCTGAGAATAATTACAGGCCCTTTTCTTAGAAATTCCATCTCAAGGGTGACCAAAGTGGTTTGCAGCACTTCTAGGAGGTTAAGAACCAGGTTAAAGCAATCAGTTAAAATTATAGCCTGAGAGTCCACATCTGAGACAGAGTGGAATAAGTATATTTTAAAAAAGGAGATTTGTGGCTAGGCAACTATATCTTGGTCAAAAGAACCTCTGTTTCTCGTCAGTATGTACTTTGCAATTATGGTCATCTTTAGCATCCATTAACATTCTCAAAGTTCCATTTTTCATTCTCCAATACCAATGAAATGCACTAAAATATTTCCTCAACCTGCTGCTTTCATATTCTCAGTATTGCCCCAGCTGCTTCTCCAATAATTACTGTTCGCAGACACTTGCCCAGACTAACACTACGATGGAGAACGATGCCTATTTCAGACCCACGCTGGTTGCTCATTGCATCTGAAATGCTCACTAAGGTAGACTAGCCAGTGTTTGTGCTGTGCTGCATTTTCCAGGCCCAGTCAATTTACAACTGACAACTTACAGATTTCAGATGCTGGCGGATGCCTGCCTTTTTCTGTCCAAATATGGATGGCTAACACCCATTTATCTCCTTTCTGGGACAGTAACAGGAGTCACTGCCCAATCTATTGGGGTCGCTGGTCTAAGCAGACTAAGGGCTTGTCTACACTTAAAACACTGCAGCTGCGTTGCTGTAGCACTTCAGTGAAGACACTAGCTACACCGACGGGATGGCATCTCCTGTCAGAGTAGGTAATCCACCTCCGCAAGAGGCGGTACCTAGATCAATGGGAGAATTCTCCTGTTAACCTAGCGCTGTCTACACCAGGGCTTACGTTGGTTGAACTGCGTCGTTCAGGGGTGTGGATTTTTAACACTCCACAGCAGTGTAGCTATGCCGACCTAACTTCCTAGAGTAGACAGGCCTAACACACACCACAAATCAAGAAGCTCCCCCCACCGCCCCCACAAACCTGGCTTCCTCCTGGTTCAGCAATTAATTCCACACAGTCTTGTGTGCCCAAGTGACCTAACCATCAAATAAAGAAAACAAATCCTCCCTTATTGGCAGGATGTCCCCACAGCCCCAGTCCTCTCCTTGCCGAGGGAGTGAAGGAGAAAGAAGGCCAGGGCCTTTCCCCAGCCTCCAGTCCTCTCCTCCTTCCAAGAAGCATTCCACCCTGTAAGAAACCTCCGGCTTGTCACGATTCCTAGTTCACAAGGCACAGCAGTCAGCAACACTGTCCATCTGCCTAGTGGGCTATAGCTCCTCACTCCTAGCCTGATGCAGTCCCTACAGGCTGCGCTTTTCTTTCCAGGGCAATGAATGGGGTTTAAGCCTTTCCTTGTTCAGCATGGGTTGGAGTACAACCCGCCCCCCCACCATAGTCCCCAATCCTGCTCCCATCAAATTGAAGGGGAGCAGGACTGGTGGGTCTTTCATGGACATCAGTTTGTGACAAGAACATGGAGACCATTATCCTAAAGATCATCAGATTTTGCTGCCGTAGTGTCAATCGCTATCTGCTTAGAGTTTGATTTTAGCTAGTTGTCAAGCCAGCTGTCCGAGAGCTAGGGCAGTTTCACGACTCAGAATAAGCCTAGACCCTTGGGTGAGCTGTATACGTTTTTAGATTCTCCCTTTATTAGCAATTTGCTTCTCACATGTTATTGTCTCATCCTGTTTGTAACTCTCTGGATAGGGAGCGAAATTCTCCTGCTGTATCTTACGGAAGATGTTTCAAGGTCTTGTTAGCCTTTGCAACATCCCCATGCAGGTTTTGCTAACATAATAGAAAAAGGTCAGGGATGAATGAGAGAAAGATCTCAATAAAATGAGATGTTCGTGTCACATTTACACTTGTACGCACAGGGACATAAAGTTCCAGGAGACCTCCAGAAGCTGAGATAGGTGGGGAAGGTGGTCTGCAGGTTTTTATTTGATAAGTCACATTCTATGTTCCTTATTGCCTGGAGGCCAAGTTTGGTGTTAACCTGCACCCCTGATTTCCCTTAAAGGGGCTGGACAGGGTGGATGACAGCTCTCAGTTTGGTTCTTTGTATTTAGATGCATCTCTAGTGCGGTTGCAGTGACTCTAATGCTGAAACTGCTCTGGCATTTACACAAATTGGGCACAGCGTCTCATTGCAAATTACACACATTCATTTGAGAACACAGATCCAGGGAAAATGTAAAAATGGGAAATGCCTCTTAACCACCTCGCATCTCTAATCAGTGCAAAATTACAGCTGATTTTCTCCCCCTGCCATGCTTTTAGCAAACATTTTCTAAATGGCACTTCTCAGACCTCTGAAAGAGACATACATATTGGACTAATGCCTCTTCGTTATACCCTGGTCTCCTCCCCTGTCCCACCCCGACCTGCATCCTGTGCACCTACACAGACTAGCCAAATTTTACTCAGAAAATGCACAGATAGCCAGGCTATGTCCACTGCATGACTAATATCACTTGAAAAACAGAAGTTGAAACCAAACGACACAGTCTTCCAAACACAGCTGCACATCCCAGATGGACCACATCAGCCCTCTCCCCTGTATGTTGCCATTTATGGTTCTGCAGAGAAAGCATGTGAGATTTGAGGTTCTCATTACTCCAACATGGAACCAATTGGAACTTGGTGGTTTCACTGAGTTTGCTTTAAGATTTTGGCACTCATCCTAACCCAAAACTGAAAAAAGTTGGGATGGGGAGGAAGGCGGGGGATAGAAAGGTGTGAACAACATCAACCAAAAGCTTTGCATGATCCCCTACAAAGTACATCTAAAGCGCTAAGAACAGAACGGGCACCACGCTCAGGTCCAAGAGCTAAGAACATCTGGGGCTCCTTTCAAAGCCATTTAATTGTGCCTCCTGCTGCAAAGGCCAAGTCTCATTTTGTAACCTTCACCCTCCCCCACCCCCCTATGCCACCTGCTGCAAATTGATAGGCCACGGGGGCTCAGTCCCTTTGAGGGACACAGGTTATGCATCCAGAATCGGCACTTGTGTCTGTGCAGGCTGATAACGGGTGTAACACAAGGAGTGGAAAATGTGTGTTCCAGCCAGGGCTGCAGTGAAGCCTAGGTGGAGAAACCTCCAGGGGAGGGAACATAGGCACCGACTCAGTGGGTGCTCCGGGGCTGGAGTGCCCACAGAAAAAAAAAATAGTGGTTGCTCAGCACCCACCGGCAGCCCCATCGATCAGCTCCTCCACCTCCCCTCCAGCGCCTCCTGCCTGCCGGTGGTCAGCTGTTCAGCAGCATGCAGAAGGCACTGGGGGTGAGGAGGCAGAACGGGGCAGGAAGAGGTGGGGCGGAGCGGGGGTGGGAGAAGGTGGGGGCAGGGGTTTGGGGGAAAGGGGTGGAGTGGGGGCGCGGTCTGGGGCAGAACGGGGGTCGAGCACCTCCCCAGGAACTCAGAAAGTCGGTGCCTCTGGGAGGGACTATGGCTTGTCCATATGTAATGCACAGGGCACACCCACGGTGCTAAATCAATAATAGCAAAGACGTAAGAGGAGCCCGTCCTTATTCCCCAGCGGGCTCAATATTACCCCACAGATACCCCAAGATTACTTCAGCTTGAAGCACAACCCCACACCACTTGGCAGTGCAGCGTTAAACACCATGGTAGCATTTAACCTGTCCCAGATGAGGTGGGCTCTCATAACCCATGGACCCCCTGTGGCTTTTACGCGTGATTTACATGGTGTTCTTAAGTCTGCTGCTAGAGCGCAGGAGAGACACACCCAAGCACAGGGGACTATTGCTCAGCGCTCAGCAGCGTTGTTCTGCTAAGGGAACGGGTGTCAGTTAAACAGAGGAAAGCCAAGAAGCCGCAGCAGCCACCGACTGTTGCTTTGTCTTACCAGGTTGCCTTCATCATCAGCGTCATCATCATCCATCTGGAGCTGCTGTAACAAGACTCCTGGAGAGGTTTTCCCATTGCAGTCTTGATGCTCTGATGCAGTGGTCCGGCTGCTGTGCATGCTGCTGGTTCGGTACAGGGAAGGCACCTGCAAGGTATCTTGGAGATCGAACGAGCCTTTAGTTTCCAGCGACGCCATGCGGTGAGGTAAAGAGCCATTGACGCTCCCAGCCCGGCTGGACCTCTCCTCGTCCGAGCTTTCCCCTTCCTCCGAACTCTCCTTCCCGTTCCCAGACAAGAGGGACTTGCGCTCCCCACTCTGGCTCCGGCGTTTCAGGCTGGGAGCCCGCCCCAGGCTATTCCAGCTTGACCGGCGACTATTCCAGCTGCTGGCTGCGCTCCAAGGGCTGTGGGGGGAGCTCTGTATGCTGGACTGAGGAAGGGACAAGAACAAGGAAAGAGTCAACCCAACATCACTGCCACCATCTCATGCTTGTTCCCAATGGGCAGGCCTAGCGATACCAAGGCAGCGAGCACAGTATAAACACCTAGACAGACAGACAGACAGCCCACACAGCTGGAAACAGCCACACAAACCAAACCGAAACAAAGCAGCCACAAAGTGTGATCAAGAAGATGAGCTGCATACCGGTGATTTGAGTTCATAGGCATTGGGATCCATGGAGACACTGCTGGCCCTGCGAGATTCATAGCCCCGAGCTGCATCTCCGAACACAGCACTTTTTGGCATTGGCATTGGGGTGGCAGCTGTGTGGATGATGAGGGGCGGGGTCAGACTCTTCTTCAGCTCTGGGAGGTCGCTCAGTACCATCACTGGAAGAAACAAGGAGTTTTTAAGATACTGCAGCTCTAGGAACATGCAATAAACCATCATTCTCCGTCACCCTTCAGGTTGCATCCAAAATCAGGGTGACAAAGGACCTGATGGCCCTAAAGGAGACAGCTCTAATCAGAACATGGGGAGGACATGGGGCCAATAACGTCATTTCACGAAAAGGAGAGAACTCTTCAATTAATGGGACAAAGGAGATTTTTAATGAGTGAGTGGGAGGTTGGGTTTTTGTTTTAAAACCAGAAATTGCATGGCACAGGGACTTAAATAAACCTGTTTTAAAGATCAGCAGCCAAGAACAGATATTGGTTTGTCATCTGCTGCTTCAGGAGCACCAGCAATCTGCCAACCATGCCTCCCCCAACTTCCCCCTTCCATTAATTTCTTTCATCTCCTCCCAGGCTTTGCTTTCCACAATGTCCCACCCTCTCTTCCTGTAAGTTCTTTCCCTACTTCCTCTCCCTATGCTCTTCTTCCCCAGTTCTCTTCCCTTTCTGTACTCCTTCCTCCACGTTCTTTCAACAGAAGTCCTACACCACTGCCGAGTGTGCTTTGTGGCCCCACACTCTCCTTCTTATCCCCTGAGCTTCGACTCCCCCAGTTTCTCCTCTTCCTACCTCCCCAAATCTTCTACCTTGTGGACAATAAATATGTCTCCCTGCAAAGCTCATCCTGACCATTCCCTGTGCCTGCTCTCCAAGCATTAGTGCATCACAGCTCTGCTGCCTGTCAAAGTGGTAACTACAGGCAGCGGCTCCCTGCTGTTTCCTTCCCCAGTTATAAACCCCATATCAACAGTATACGGGCTGATTCTTGGGCTTTACTGGGAGATAATGGACTAACACCATTACATATCTTTGCCTTTAGGTCATGATCCATGACTCATTTAAAATCAGTTATACCTTGATAGAGTCTGCAATGGCCTGAGATACTGCGTAAACACTCCCCCAAGAAGGGCTTTCCTCTTTTGGACACATTGTGTCTCCTATCAAGTGAAGTTGCCCTAGAAGGACTGATTTCCAGCGTGGTTACTTACAGGCTGGGTTTGACAAGTTTTTCTTAAGTCCACCCTCTTCTTCCAGGCTATGAGGGAAAAGATCCCCCTCAGAATCAGACTTAGAAGCATCTCCCTAGAGCAAAACAGAGCAGCTTAGTAACCAGGATAATTGGCTATGGGTAGTATGGAAATGCCTTCTGAACAATGGGTCCCATCTCCAAAAAACACACCTACTGACCCACTGAAATTTGTACCACAATGGGACATCACCTTCCACACAATGAGGCATGCACATATTTATACCACATACTGTTAACTATACTCCCAAAGGGCAGAGCTACTGTATAGCCCCCAAAAGCAGCCAAGTGCTGGGGTCAGAAGACAACCACTTGACCTCCTACGCTGGAGCTGCACACCGGGCAGACACGAGGGAAAGGACATAAACCTGATGAACGTTCTTTGGATGAAAAAACTGACTCTCTTTGTCCTTGACCATTAATATGGGACTGGGGATTAGAACTGTTTACACACAAGCACTGAACACAGCTCTTTCCACTGAAGCTTAAATGAAATAATCCAGACTTCAGCAAGTGGCATAAACACTTGACTGCAGGTTTCAGCAGATAACGGGTGTCTGTCTCTGAAAAGTTACATAAAGTGCCATAAGAGCACTTGGTATGGGATAGAACAGCTCTCAAAGGGAGACAACCCAATAACAGCTAATTAGGCTTCCCCAAGGTGCCCATTTCACCCAATACTAAGTGGTAAAACCGTCCTATTTATTTAGGGGAGTTGCATCCTGCTGTACAATTTAGAATGACGAGGGGTTTCCCCTTTTGATCTTGGTCTGTCATCAGAAACCTATCCAGGAAACCAACTCGAGTCCCCCTTGAATGGTGTGAAATAATTTACCATCGCTCATCACTTCCATTGCTTATCGTGCTCTGCCAATGCCTAGCTCAGGCATTGCTGACATCTGACATAGACTGAATCAAGACCTTCCCAGCTCAGCCCTTTTTGATTCTGTCCATTGGCACTGAGGAAAAATACTTAGGGTGTGGTATAACCACAATACATCAGCCAGGAATGGAGCTTGCCAGAATTATTCCCACCTGAAGGGGGTTGATTTACTACTGAAACCATAATTCTGGCAAAATGGCCCCCTCCCTTAGTATGATGTATATGGGGAGGGGAAGGGGGAAGAGGGGAAATGCAATGACAAGAGAGAAGCCAAGCAGAATCTTACTTTAGCTCTAGAAGAACCTAGGTGCACAAGAGAACCCAACACCTACTGTGAAGACTAAGCTGCACTACTAGCCCTGGTCCACCCTAATGAAGTTTGGTGCTTGGGTACATGTTTGATTTTAAAAGCCAGAACAGGCTCCAGCTAGGAGGGAAGTGCTAGAGTGGCAGACTGAAGGAAGTGACATTCAATACAAGACCCAGACCTGCACTCCTTACTCAGGCAAAGCCCACCTAGAAACTCAATGGGAGTTTTGCTTGACTAAAGAGTCCAGGGTCGGACCCACATTCTCAATGGAAAACACCCTTTCTTTGGTTCAGCCAAACAGTTATGTTTTCTCCAATCACACTGCGGACTCTCTCAGAGAAGTGTCGTCACGGAAATAGAGAGCGTGAAAGGAAGTCCTTACCTTTTAAATTTCTTCCTGTCCTGCAAGATCACCCTGTTATTTGAGGAAACTCACCCTGCAGGGCCGGCAGTATTTCAAAGGGCGAGGACTGCCACTTTCAAGAAGGAATATTAAATTAACATTGGCCTGAATTTAGTTGAATTTTTAAATTCTCTGTCTCTTTATTGGAATGTGGACTTCAAGTATTCTCTCCCAGAAAGCCTGCCACTTCATTTCTCCTTAATGGGTCGTTAAAAACTAATAAGCAATGCAAAGAGGTTTCATTACTTAATTTGTGTTCCTCAAATATTCTGTCACTGACAAAGGGTGCACTCTCGGAGGCGGTAAGAGATGCACATTAATAAGGAGGAGCAGGACCACATGGGGATTGCAAACTTCCATCCCCACAGCACCAAACCCCATGTCTTTGAAGCAGCCTACTGTAGCTGTAACAGAACATACCATCACCCCCTTTAATACGGTGTGTGACATATTAAGTGCGGCTGCAGGCAAGCATCTCCCCGCAGGGCCTCGTGGTCATTACCTGTTCTTTTGCTCCCGGTTTGCCTTTCTGGATGGAAAAGGGTTTATGAGAGAACATGGAGTTAAAATCCCTTTGAAATATAAGAGTATGTTGAGATGCACCATATGGCACAGTGGCTAAATCAGCATGTACAAAAGAGGGCAGAATGTACCTGAACAGGATAGAAAGTGCCTTTGTGCTAAAGTAAAAGCCAGAGCTTGCAGGACAGAACAGAAAAGGGGCGGAAGTGAAAAAGGAAAGACGCATGAGAAGGGAAGGGTTGGGTGGGTAAAGGGCAGGGGAGGCAAGGTTTGGTTAGTGCTTGGTTTCATAGCTTCATAAATTTTAAGGCCAGAAGGGTCCATCATGATCATCTAACCTGACCTCCTGCATAACACAGGCCAGAGGATGTCACCCAGCGATTCCAGCATCCAATCCATAACGCCCGGTGGAGCTAGAGCATTTCTTCCATCAGTGACTACTGCAGCTGCCTCAATGCTAATATTGACTTCTCCAGAGCACAGCGCTCTGACACACACGTGTCCACAAACAGCCTTGATTCTAGGTCCTTTCAGTCTTTGGCAGCTCTCTCCACTCCACCACATGCAGCTAGAGGGGCTGGGGCGGACGTGCATGAGGGGGATGAGGTTTTGTCCAGAAGCAGGGAGCAGCATGCGTGATCAGGGAGGTGTTTGACAAGCATGCCTGGGAAACAGCATCACCCATACCTCAGATTTACAAGGGGCGGGCAGGGGGTGGGGGGAGTTTAAAAGAGGCATTTGTGAGCTCTCCTGAGTGGGAAGAGTCGATTCCTGTACAGAAAAGACACAGGAAGCCAGAACAGTTTCAGGTGAGACTGGGGAGTCTGTGTTGACCTGTCTGACTCCACAAAGAAGGAAGAGACTTAAAATCAAGGCTCGCTTGACAATGACGACAAAAGGAACGACAGCTACTACAATGAGAACAGCATCATGGTGTGTGACCAGTCACCACAGAGAGAGACAACTACCAGACGGCGTTTGGGGGGGTTCATGCTGAGTTCTTACGTACCACCGACGAGTCGACAGGCAGCTGAATACAGCTTAACTGCCCACTCGCGTCTTCTCGCTTGGTGATTTCCTGAAGTAAAAATGGGGGAAGGGGAAGGAGGGGGGGTTGATTTTTTACAATTTCGGCATCAAAATTGAGAGTGGATCATAAAAAGAGAGATAGAGAGATAAAAGGAAGCAAAGTAAAAAGAAGAAAGGGTAGAGAAGGATAATATGTACCCATCAGCGGCAATTTCATACCAAGATTAAAAAGCAGAATAGGTCACAACACTCTGGACTCGTCAGACGCCACTGACTTTGTTCAGTGCAAGGAAAGGATGAAAGGTAGCACAGCCCTTAGAAGAGATCATCCTTACCTTTAAAATAAGTGTTTCAAAAGGAGTATTTGATTTAGCTCCAATGTGATAGCTGTTCGCATTAATGAAATACCGTCTGATTATTAAAACCATGTATGCTCAGGTTTTTTGTGGCTGCAAAATGAGATCTGTATTTATTATGCTGTCATTAGGCAGCAATGCATGCGTTTAATTAACACATAATACTGATCCCGTTAAAGCCAAACGAAATAGCTAGTTCAAGGGAAGCCATCAGAAACTTTTATAGATTAGATATGTTGTTATTTTGATTGGGCCCTATCAACTCTCATTGAAATCAGTGGGGACTTGATCCAAAGTCCACTGAAGTCAATCGGAGTCTATTGACATCAGTGGGTTTTGGATCAGGTCCTGGGGGTTGTGTCTGAGTAATGACTCCAGGATTGGGCCCCATATACCCCAAAAACAACATTTTTGTACCTACTTTATCCTTTTCCACTTGGAAAACACTTATCATTATTCCCCTTTGCATTTCCCCTTCCACAGCAAAAGTTGACTTGACAGACTTGTGTTTACTTCTCAGCATATTCAAGCATGTTTGGAGACACAGGTGCAGCTTTGGGAATGGCATTTTTAAATGTAGCTGCACACTACAGAGGCAGTAGGAGGAGTTTGCATATTATTTTTGGTGTATCTCTCACCTATCACATTGATATCTTGGCACAGGTTATGAGCTGGGTAAAATTTTTCAATCAACATTTTGCAGTGAAAAATGCAGATTCAGGTCAACCCAAAAAAAGTTACGTATTTTCTGTCGATTTTGGTGAAATTGTTTCAGTCAAATAAAAAAAACCAAACCCTATTTTTTTTTATAAAAAGGCAAAATGTTTTGTTTCAACATTTTCTAAACAAAACATTTTGACTTTTCCTTTGTTTCAAAATTACTGTTAATTTTAAAAAGGGAAAGAAATCTCAATCTAAGCAAAAGGTTTATTTGACCCAAAACATTTTTTTTTTTTACTTTTTGATTCACCAAATATTTCAAAAAATGTTATTTCTATTGAACCCAAAACAATTTTTCCTGATTTTTTGAAATTGCCAATGAATTGAAAAATCCATTATTTGCACAGCTCTTGCTAAACCAACTGGGCTAATTTATTGGAGGTACTGGATTTTGCAACAATATTTAAGAACAGTAAGTTAAAATTTGGATCCAAACAGGGATAGCAAAGTCTTTCCAAACATATATTGTACATGTAATTTAAAGTATTATCAAATTTGATTCTAATAAAAAACACACATAAATAACCCATCAAAAGATTAAACACACAATTATCCTTCATAAGGATAATCCCAATGAAACTGACTGGAGTGTAAAAAGTATAGGATGTGACAAAAATACAGTACAAAATCTAAATCACTGATGAGTGAAAATTGATCATTTCCCTCTGTCCCAGGAGAAGTCAAGGTTCTGTTGTCTCAGACTGTTTAGCCATGGTCTGGTACTACACCACAGACTCTGGGTTTTTATCTTAGTTAATGTATAAAGCACGCAAGTGCTCTGCATGCATACACAACCCCGTCCTCACTGAACCTTGGTTGCCTTGTGATGGGAAAGGTGGAATTAAAGAACAACGGGCACAAAGAAGGGAGATGAGACAAACTCACAACTGAGGATTGCCAGAGACAGGGAGAGAAACCAAGGGGAACATGAAATTGAGAGGATTACCAATGGAAGAATATGCTTCAGAGATAACATTATCATGAAGTCCCCCAGGAGAGGAGCTTTATGTCTGACAAAAAGCTCTCTTACCAGGAGTCATTGTTTGTTTCAGAGATAAATCCCCAGGGCAGAGACCGGATAGTTCACTCAAGTAATATCGTATTAGCAGCTCTATCAAATGGAGTCACACAGCAAATCTTCCACACCTTAGAGCTGCTGTGGTTTCAGGCACAAATTCTGAATCTAAGTAATTCACAGAATGTACATTAAAAAAACCCAGGCTGCAGAAAATCCTGTGTGTGCCCTTTGCGCATAATAGTCAGGTTACAACGAAATACAGGGATCTCTGTTGAAAGTTTGGAACAGGTTCTTTTTGTTTCTTAACCGCATATGTACATCTGCTGCTTAGCAACCAAAAGACCTGCAAAGGCATGCACTAACATTAATAAGGTGTTTGCAGCTGGCGGAAAGGCACTCAAGGATCGGAGAGAGAAAGGCAGAAGCAACACACACTGTGAAGAAATCTGAAGGACAATGAAATTAAAAAAACCCAAATAAACCAGGAATAGAGGGTCAAGGACCCAATAACGATCACCTGAGATAAAAGCTTGCTGTTATTTACAATGGGAGATGATCTCATCTAATTTCACTTAGGAGATGGCCCCCTGCTAGGTGGGTTAGCAAGAAATGGAAACATTTTTTTGCTTGTAAAGCTGAATAAAATAGTCAGGAGCAGATCCTCAGCTGATCTAAGAAGATGTAGCTCTACTGAAGTCAATAGAATAATGCCGGTTTACACCATATCCAGCAAACATCCACCCTATCTACATGCCTGCCTAAAAAAAACTGCCATTGAACGGAGAGGTTTGTGTACAAGATTTCATTTTACTAGAAGACTACAGAGAATTTCTTACCATTCGCCAGGGGCTGAGGGGGTGGGGGTGGGGGGGGAGATGACCATCTATTACAAAAGTCTGAGTCACAAAAGGGGCAAATTCCAATGGTAGTGACACTGGTGTAAATCTGGAGTAACTTCATCAGCATCAACGGAGTTAAATAGGAATGACACAAACATAACAGACATCAGAATTTGGAACTAAGACGGGGGCCCAGGTTTCAGCCTCAGTTACACCAAGTGTAAGACTCTGATTCAGGGATGCACTTAAACACATGCTTAACTTTAGGTATGTGCATACGTACCATCGACTTCAAGTTAAGCATGCGTGTTACTGCTTTCCGGAATTGGGGCCTAAATTAGGCATCCCTCCCCTGTCTTTAATGGAGTCACTCCGGATTTACAGTAGTGATTTTAAGATCATAGATTCTAGGACTGGAAGGGACCTCGAGAGGTCATCGAGTCCAGTCCCCTGCCCGCATGCCAGGACCAAATACTGTCTAGACCATCCCTGATAGACATTTATCTAACCTACTCTTAAATATCTCCAGAGATGGAGATTCCACAACCTCCCTAGGCAATTTATTCCAGTGTTTAACCACCCTGACAGTTAGGAACTTTTTCCTAATGTCCAACCTAGACCTCCCTTGCTGCAGTTTAAGCCCGTTGCTTCTTGTTCTATCCTCAGAGGCTAAGGTGAACAAGTTTTCTCCCTCCTCCTTATGACACCCTTTTAGATACCTGAATCTGATCTCTCTATTCCAATGTTTAGAGGCAAACTAATTTCCTCAAAAAAACACCTGGATTTGCATTCTCAGTGAAATGTTGTTATGCTGTTTTTAAAAAGTTAAGTCCTTTTCTTTACTGGCTAGTCGCAGCAAGTGATATTTCAATCAGGTGGGCATTCTAGAATCAATGAACAAGACTGACCAGAGAGAGGCTGAGTTTCAAGTCAGACATCACTCCACAAGAGGACAAGGTTGTTGTTTTTTGTTTTTTTTACCCGTGCTTACTTTTACTTAGGCAAAGCACATACCACCTCCTGCAAAGAAATCTTTTGTGATTCAGAAGAACTTGACAATGACCTTAACTCCATTTTCCATGACAGAGAAAACAACTTACAGAGAGAGATGGATATGATAATAGGCAATTAAAAATAACACACTAACCCAATGTGAAATGACAACACACGTACCTACACCCTCATCCCAGAACTATTCAACAAATTATCCCCTTAAATGGCACTTGGAAAATATCAAAACAATCAAGTTGTATAAATAGCTAGTTATGGTGTAATAGATTATTATGGCACAGGGAGGTGACAAATTTTAATGTTTATTATTCCCTCAACACACACAGCCATCAGCTGAGACATCACTCTAAATTACAACCTGTACTATTAGATACTGATGAATAGTGCTGGCTTGTACTTCCTTATCTAAGCCCTTCTGCAAAGCGTACAGTTCTCTCTTCTCCTTCCTCATGAACATTTTTTTTTTTTTTGCTTCTGTTAGCCTGCAGAGACCTGGGTCATAGGCAGCCCTGGTTGTCTGCTAGTTTCAGGGAGTTTGTTATATATTCATTCACTATGAACCGCTTGTTAGAAAGACACAGGGTCAAGTTCAATTCAGATCTAAGACCTCTTCGCTGACTTCCCAGAGATCCTTACGGAAGATAGAGGATATTTAACAGAGGCTCCCAGCCCTGAGAATCAATCGATAGCCTAGGAACAATGAAGTTAAAAATGTGCAAAAGTATCGCTGAGCCGCAAGCAGGAAGAGATCAACAACACAGACCATCCAGAAAGATAATTATGTCACTAATCTCTCACCAGCCTGCATAACTTTACAGGGATGGCTTTTTATCTGGCTCCCAAACACAACGAAGCCCCTTTCAAAGACATTCTTAGAGCATTTTATTCCATCAGCACTGACTGACTCACAGCTGAATCCTTGCAATTATATTAATGCTAACAAAGCTTTTCATTTAAGCTCAGTTAAACAGCCTGGTTTATTGCACTTGGTCCTAGCTAAGAAACAGAAAAAATAAGAGCTAATTTTTTCTCCTTCACACTCTCTCTCTATTTAAGTTCATCAGTTTCCCTTTTGTAAATCTAAATTCCAGAGGGATGTTGGTTCTAGACCCTCCCTCGCTCTGGAAACAAAGAGATAAAGAGGGGAGCCTCTGTAAGGTTTTACCTCAGTCTGGAAACCTTCCACCAGGATGGCCACCAATAGATTAAAGAGAACGTAATTCCCAAACGTCATAAGGGCGATGAAGTAGAGAGCAGCCCAGGAAGAGGTAGATGCCATGCCGTTGTAGAGGACCTTGTTCCAGTCTTCTTGAGTCAGAATCTATGGAGAAGGAGCACCGTGAGCATAAAGGGACATCACGACAGTCCAACATTCACTGGTAACCCAGCGTTCGGGTTATATGACTAGGGACACTCATCTTTCCTACATGCTCTTACTTACGCTCCAGGTCGGCAGAGGTGTATCTTCAGCCTTAAACAGGCAAAGAACCTACTCTTGGGGAAACCAGCACATTGGTAATATGTAATACTAATGCTGTACAATTGCTGCTTCTCAACAGCCCTGTAAGGGAGAGAAGTGCACTCACGTTCCAGATGGGCACAGAAGGATTGTTACTTGGCTCAGGTCACCCAGTGAATCAAAGCAAAGACAGGGATAGCACTTGATTCTCCACCCTCTCCCTCCCCCTCCCTCTTCCCCTCCCCCACACTCTAACCCCAAGGGCTGCAAGCTGCCCTAACTCTGTGCATGGAACTCCAGTTGATATCAAGGCCCATACAGAGCTTTAAATGACCGCCGTGTAGCATGCACTGGCATTTTGTTCTGTCTGCAAAGACAGATAAAGATCCACCGAAGACTCAGAATACACAGTCTAGATTTGCCAACAGCAATACACTACTCAGTACAAACTATTGCCATAAAGCAGATTCTCCTTACGATGGAGACAGGACTCCAGGCTGGCTGTCTTGCTTTGAAGCTCTCATTGGACTTGTGTCAGCCTTGCTCGCAGACCCGTCCTTTACTCAGACTAATTACCCCTCTGTTGCTCCTCACAATCTTACCACTGCTCCTGCAAGAGCCTTCTCTTCTGCAGCTTTTGGCATCTCCGGGAGTTCCCCTTTCATCCGATCTCCATGTATTGTCTCATATCATCAGAAAACGCTCCCCCCCCGCCCATCGATACTTTTTGGTTTCACTCCCCCTCAGCTATTAGTTTTATTGAGCTCTGCAGAGCATTGTGGAAAGCAAATCTAAACTCTCCCACCCCACTTACAGCCCCACAGTGCGTGCTTGGTAAGGAGTTCTTGTTGTTGTACCTGGAAAACCGTGACGATGGCCCACAGCAAGGAGTCAAAATTCTTCCTGTCCGGCAGGGTGTCTCCATCTCGCTCCGAAGCAAACTTACAGCCGAAGAGATGCATCCCCAGGATACTGAGCACACAAAGAAGACAAGATGGGGTTGAAGATGATGTTAAGAAAGCAGCATGAAGTGGTGGCCTTCTGTGTCTCAGGATATTGTCTGCCTAGCAACCAGTTATTGGGAGCAATACTTCCCTCCATGGAGGAAAGAGAGCCTTAATTTGCTTCCTGCCAACTCTCCCCTCAGCAGGGGCGGCTCTATGTTTTTTGCTGCCCCAAGCATGGCGGTCAGGCGGCCTTCGGCGGCATGCCTGCGGGCAGTCCTTGGTCACGAGGATTCGGCGGTGTTTCTGTGGGTGATCTGCCAGTCCTGCGGCTTCGGCTTACCCGCCACTGAATTGCCGCCGAAACCGGGACCGATGGACCTCCTGCAGGCACGCCGCCGAAGGTCGCCTCACTGCCGCCTTCACAGCGACCGGCAGGCCGCCTCCCGCGGCTTGCCGCCCCAGGCACGCGCTTGCTGCGCTGGTGCCTGGAGCCGCCCCTGCCCCTCAGTATATCTTGGGCAAGGCCAGCCTTACCCCCTGTATATTAGAGACTGGCTCATACGGGGTTGGATTTTGAGCAGGTTTGACTTATTAGAAAGATCGGAGTAGTTTTCAATATCTGCACCTGGGTTTGGATTTACAACACCCCCAAAGTTCTGGGCTGCTTGAATCTCAAGTGGATCCAATCCCAAACCTTTTGCACAGAGAGAAAAAGCAAAGAAATGATGCAAAGGGGATAAAAGAACCATGTGTGAATGAGACTGACTCGGACGGGTTTATTCTAGGAACATTCTCTTCTCTGCCCTTTGAAAGACAGTGTTTTGGTTAAGGCTTCCGGCTTGCCCTCTGGACCACAGCAGGAACGTGATGTCATACGCCTGCTGCCTTGGGGCGATGGGGAAGGGATTTCCCTGGAGAACACCCTCACAAACACAGACACGACATTTGGCAAGAATTGCAAGACTCTAGCCAGGGGCTGGTCTGCAGTGCCCGTACCTGTTATGGAGGTTACTGTGCTTCTCATTCAGCAAGTCACTTCAAGAGAGCACAGACAGAGTTATTTACTTTTGTGAGCAATCATGAAATCTATGGATTCTCTTCACATTCTCGTCTAGTCACTGGACCAGAAACTTAAAGCACAGAGCCAGAGCAGGGCATGAAAGGAAATCAGAATCCATGCCACGTACTCACCTAAAGATGAAGATGAAAAGCATCAGTAACATGCAGAAGGTGGCCACATTGTCCATGGTCTTCATAAGGACCACTAGCTGGCGCTGGAGGGCAGGCATGAAGCGGACCAGCTTCAGGACTCGCATGAGACGGAACGTCCGCAGAACTGACAGGCCCCCGCCTTGCTGTCCCACTATCTCCCAGACGCTAAGGAAGAAAAGAGATTAACAGTATGGGACTGGGTGTGGAAAAGGAAGCACTGAACATAAATGCACGGAGACAGCGACGAGAGGAAGGGAGAGAGAAGTGAAAGGAAAGATCCGCTTTCCAAGTTGGTGAAGCTCAGAGAAAACAGGGATGTGAAGTAGGGAGCCTATCAGGAAGATCTGTACGGACAGTGCTTTCTGATACCTGAATTAGTGTCAGATTTGCAAAGAATGGAGTCCCATTAGAGCATGCCAAAAACAGGCCTGTAAATCACTGAGTGCACCTGAATGCCCAATGACAGTGTTCACATGTGCCCAGTGGGGAAGTGGGCACAAAGACCCAACAAGACATTTGTCAGCTGAAGAGTTCATGTCTAAACTTCCCCAATATCTGGACGTGTTTGGGGCTCTCTCTCAAAAAAAACAAACAAAATCAAAACCAGGCAACCAAAACCCCACAAAGCTAGCCTTGGCCTGCAGGGGTGTGGGCAGTCATTTATCTATAGGCATCTTTAATAATATACAGTAGATGGTATAAAATATGTCACAGCAAGTTAATTAACACTGCATAGGGAACCAGTGATGATCCATTAGGGTTCTTACAGAAGGTGAAAATGATGATCCAAGGATTCAAATTCATGATATTAATGATGCACAGAAGTCAGAGAGATGGGGTGTGTATACTTTGAGGTGTGGGGGAGGAATATGAAAGAGGAACTCAGAAGTAGGCATAGATATGAGGGAACAGAAAGGACACGTGCTATTAAATAAGGCTCTAAATGAGGTATCACAAAAAAGCATGGCTGGGCACATGGAAAACTTTGGCAAAGGGCCATTATACTAAGGATAGCTGCGTATATAATGAACTATCAAAGACGGGAACAAGGTGGGTTGCTACAGAGAGTTTTCAGAAGAGTAGAGAATTTATGGAGAAACAACACTACGGGGTACAAAAGCTAACACAGGAGCACAGGGGCCTAAGTGACCCAGAAAGGCCATTTTATCTATTATCCTCTGTTTTAATTCAACAGTCCAGTGAAGAGAAACCCTTGTAACCAGACCACCACGCTTGTACCTGATCACTACAATGATCCCATCAAAGATGTTGTATGGATTTTTGATGTAGCCAAATGGACCATACACGAGGACTTTCAGCAGCATCTCCAGGGCAAAGAGGCTTGTGAAGACAATATTGCTGATCTCCAAGGCATTGGTGAGTTCCTCAGGCTGCGATTAAGAACAAAGGGGGAGTGGGGGGAGTAGTTACATGATACAAATCTGCTCTCTAGAGGTGCTCAGATTTAGACCACAAAATAGACCAGGGCCAATTACAGAAGGATGTAAATGGTGATGTAAAGTGCATGTCACTAAAAGTATAATTTTCAGCCAAGTGAGTAAAAGAGCAAGATAGCAGATGGAAAAACTCCAACAGGCCAGCGTAAAATATAGCACTTATTATAGATTATAGAGGTAAATCCACCCATTAAATCCACATTAACTACAGCATCACCACTTTGATGCCTGGTGTGATGCCATCAACCTTGGTCATTCTGGCTAGTGCAACAGTCCTTAGTAGACCATGTGCATTTGATTGATTACTACTATAACAGGAGACATTTGTAACACTGTCCAATAGAGAAATTGAGCATTATCTATAACTCACACACAGATTATCCTATACAGAGGGGCAAACCAGAGTGTTTTCTCACATACATCAATTACGGGTCTATTCTTTAATTTACTAGGTATCTTAATCTTACATAAAGACTAAAGCTAAGATTTTCAAATGTGATTAGGGATCGTAGGTGCCTAACTTGAGATGCCTCAAAGGAACCTGACTTCCAGAAAGTGCTGAGCGCCCTTAATGTGAAAATCGCTCATCTTTAAGGTTTCCCAAATTGGGAACCTAAAAATGGAGGTACCCCAAAATCACTAGACACTTTTGAAAATCTTACTCTGCACCTACTCTCTAAATAGAATTAGGCAAAGATACAAGCAACTGGAAACAGGGTCTTATAATGGGAAGTGTCAGGCAAACTTAATAATAGGTGGTGCTACCAGACTTGCATTTAATACTTTGAGCTTCTCTAGTGCCTTTCACCTGGGGATCTCAAAGCACTTTACAAACACTAATTAAGCCTTTTGATATACATGTGAGCTAGGCACCAACTATGATAAACACATGACAGAAGAGTAAACTGAGGCACAAAGAGTGAATTATCTGAGGTCACCCAGTGACTCTATAGCAGAGTAGAAATAGAATCTGGGAGCTGTGACTCTCATTCTCCTGAGTTAGGTCCCAATCAGCAAAGTATCTAAGCATGTTAAAATTTAAGCAACTTTACAACTGACAAAATAAGACGAGGAATATCCTAAAATATTGCTGGCAATTTAATCTGTGACCTGGTGCCACTGTAGCATGTGCTGCAGGGCTCTAAATACAAGAGTTCCCACTCTTCTGAAACCATGCAAGACAGGAACAGAAGTATTGCAATACCTAGGCACAATAGGGGTGGTTCCAGGATGTCACCGTAGCCTTACACAGGATGTGGTCACTTGCAATCATTTGTGTCTCAGTGCACCGAGATACCACAGTGAATAAGGCTTTATAAATACACAGATTAGAGAGACAAAGCCATTTTTTGCACTGAATTCTCTTTCTTTGTTTCTCAATGTCTAAATCTCCACAGACGTACGCTGAATCTTATATTTCACTTTGCCTTCCGCCCTCCTGGCATAATATTTATTCCATAAACTTGGACCAAAATTAATCTGACATCAGATTGTAATCCCTCCGGATTTGCACCGACACTGGCAGGAGTTTGTTATAACAAAATTAAATCCCTATCTAGTGATTGGGAAAATGGCTGTGTCAAAAAAAAAAAAAAATGTTATGGAAGGGAATTACCGGGTGTGCTTAGCAGATATTGTTTGGGCACTTCGGATCCCTCAGCCATTTCAAAGTGCTTTTGATTCCCTTCATGACATCAACAGTACTCAGCCCACGAAAGAGGCCGGAGCTCAGAAAATATTTACTTTTTCAAGAACAAAAGGGGCGGAAGGCAAAAGATTTACATGTGCTGAAGAGAAACCAGAGGGAAAGAAAACAAAGGGTTATTTATCGATTTGCAGCTTGATGTGTCACTCTCATCAGTAACTAAATCCTGGGGCTAGAGTTTGACATTACTTTTCTTGCTGATCTTGAGTTAAAATAAAACTGCTTTAACTCACGCTATTAAACACACTCTTGGTTTAAAATGATCTATGTCCTGGAACACACTCACAAAATCATAAATCGGCTGAGAACTTGTATGTCAAGCGCCATCCCAGGACAATTTCAAAAGCCTGCACTTGTCATGGAAACTGCCAACTCATTCATAACTGCAGAGGCTCAGAGACAGCCTGTGCTGTTATTTTCATTATGGCAGCTATTTCATTATGCAAAGAAATGTGCTCTTGGAATCTTTCCTCCTCACACATCATTATCAGTAATTTGGAGCCTATAGGTCACATTCTGCCATCAATTACACCTGTGCAATCCTTTTGCCATAAAAAACATGTTACAGTATGTCTGCTGAACAGGGTTGCCCATGTATAACTGAGGGAAAATCTGGCCCTGCAATGAGAACTCAGTGAACTCTGCTGATGGTCATGAGACAGGCTAGAACCTGGCTCCCTCTCCCATAGATGAGCTATCCCTTCCTGGAGGATGCAGGAAGAAACATTAAAAAATGAAGCCAGTCAAGGAGGGGATCTAAGATTAGGCTGACCAGATAGCAAGTGTCAAAAATCGGGACAGGAGGTGGGGGGTAATAGGTGCCAATGTGAGAAAAAGACCTAAAAATCGAGACTGTCCCTATAAAATCAGGACATCTGGTCACCCTATCTAAGATTAAGTACAAAAAAGTAATAACACTTTGCACTTAACTGGCGCCTTCCGTCTGCTAGGTGTACAGGTACCACCCCCATTTTACAGATGGAGAAACTAAAAGACAAAGAGGGGCCAAGTGATTACCCCAAGTCACACCGTGAGCCAAAGGCAGACTTGGTAGTAGATTTTATGGCTGGGATTTCCCAAAGAGCTGAGGAATTTAGGCTTCAAACTCCCACTGAAATTCAATGGGAGCTGGGCACCTAACTCGCTTGGGTTCTTTGACAGCCTATTCAAGCCTGATCCTTCTATTAAAAGCAACAGCTATGTATACAGAGGCAGATAGCTGAGGCTGCATTCCCCACATGAGAGACGTGCATAAAGCAAGCCATTAAAGGCACCTGATGCAGGCTGTGTCTAATCCCAACGCGTCCCGGACACCGGTTCTTTGTTTACAAGTGCCCTGCAGAGCTTTAACCCTGGTAAGATGAGAGATAAGTACAGGGACCTGTCAGTGGGAATCAGCCAGTCTCCCCACTCATTGCCAGAAGGACCGGAAAGCATTGTTAATAATCAGCCACAGCTCAGAAGGGCTTCACCTGACAGATGCTGTTGTAAATCATCTCAGAAAGCAACATCCTGAGGTAACCAAAATCTGTAATTGGTGTCACTGCTCTGGCTGGAGTTCAAGCTGTGGGAAAATCATTCTGGTGCCAGAGAGATGGCCTGGGAGCTGAAGTGGGGAATACAGGCGGCTTATGTTGTTTATCTGGCAGGAAAGCCATTAGATGTGAGATTTGAAAATAACCTGCTTCCTGCATTACAAAGAGCAAAGATGTCATCCTGTAGCCCGCACCACTCATTAGTGGGCTCTCCGGATCCTCTAACTCCAAGCACTTTCAGAGCTCAGGAGGGGGGTGGGGGAGACGGCATGAGGATGGGCAATGCAGATGCTGGGAGCTCGGTATCCCTCATACCAGCATCCATGCTATGGCAGAGGGTTTATCCTTCGCTCTCATCAAACAACGCCTGAGGAAAAATAAAATCCATCCATTTCCACTTCCTCTGAATCCCGTCATGGCTCTCCCATGGCTGACATGAACAGAATCCAGGTAACTCTCAAGGAAAAACCACCCATATTCAGTCTGTAGCGCTTTCCATTCAGCCTCCCTTTCACGAGCACCGTATTCACCATGTCTTTGTTTACCAAAGTACACGTGGCTTGAGACTGTCAAAGCTGCCTGGGGGATTTGGACCTGAGATTCCCAGTTGGGGGTCCAAATCCCCATAGGCAGTTTGAACAGTCTCAGCTGTCCTGTTTCCAAGGAGACATACAAAAATATGACTTTCAAAAGACTCTCCTGCCCTAGGGTATGTCTACATTGCAGTCAGAGGTATGCCCACAGCACACATAGGCCCACCTGAGCTAGCTTTGATCTAGCGAGTGCAAATACCAATGTAAGGATCTGCAGATCGAGAACTCAGCATTGTAGGATCCTAGGTGGCAGATGCCTCCCCATCACCCCACAGAGAGCCAGGCTGAGCAGCATCCAACACTTACTGGAGGGCTAGGCAATGCAGGAAGTACCAGCCAAAGAGGCCAGAGTGACAGAACTTCTGTGGCTGCCTGATTGGTCCACATCAACTCTTTAAACCAGGAAGTTGCCCCAGGGACCCAGCTAAGCAACAATGCAGACTCTGCCTTGCTACTGCTACAGGCTTCGTCATTTGCCCCATCTTGCTCCAGACTCTTGCCTTTGATCCTGGCCCAGTGGATACTATTGGGCGAGCTGCCTGGGCCTCGGTCACTACAACTAATACAGTGAGCTGCAGCAGTACACTTCAGAGTACGCTATACCAGCTTGTCTGGGACCCTGAACAATTATGTGGGTGGCTAGCTTGCGCTGAAGTCTTTGGTGCTGCAGCTTCACTGCTATTGGTACTAGCGAGATTAAAGCTAGCAGAGATATCTCTACATGTGCTGCAATCCAAACCTCCAATTGCAATGTAGACATACCTTAAGAGATGGGTGAACATGTCAAGTGCTCTCTTTAGAGATACTTACAAAATATACCTGGGACAGTCAAAGATTCCTGACATAGAACCAGTTGCTAGGATATGTTGCCAAGGATGTGCAACTTTCTTTCCTACAAGACCAAGTTGTTCTTCCCCACACTGTCATAAACAAGAGAGTTTGTCTCAAATACTCTGAGAGGGCCCTGAATTTTGTGGGGAACTGCTGATTTTGGAGAACACAAGATTTATTTAGTTTACGATCATTCTCAATGCAAAACATGAGCCTCACTTGCAGCATAATACCACCTCCTTCCAATTAGATTAAAGTGCATCTGTCATA